ATCAGAGCAAGTTTAAAATAAAATCCAGGTAGGCCTAATCCAATGAAAGAAAAAACATAAAGGCTCATGAAGAAGACAGGAATGAAGAGGCACAGGCCAAAAGCTGGAGACGAGGACTGTCAAGACAATCTCTTGACAGACAGTGCTACACACTTAAAAACAATCCCCAACCAGCTAACCATCATGACACACAAACTAACAACTACTCATGTCATTCTAGCTAAATCAGGCACCTGGCTTCATCTTTGAATTGGACAAAAGGGCAATTTGACGCAAACAGGTATAAAAGGTAAATCTTAAGTCTAATGATAAGGGTAAACCAGTGGCATTCTGGGTAAATTTAGGAGCATGAGCACAAATTGTAAACCAATGCCGTGAATTCCATATAGATCCAATGAGTGTTTTCTTTATGAGGATTTGAATGAGGACATACACGCAACCTCTTCTGTGGATGATTGAGTAAGATAAGTTTATAATATCTTATCTCAAGAAGGTACTCACACTCAAACAAACTCAAACTCATCAGGAGTGACTATAGAGATTGAAAGACACAACGGTTGGAAGTCAATGTTGTCAAAACTACTGTCCAAGAATTGCAGGATTAGCTCTAGTTCTCTTATTCTCAATTGAATAATTCACTAAATAGAAAATTAATATTCTTTTTTAAGATATCTTCTACTGTTCTGACCACAGCCCAACCTTACTTATCAAGGAGATGGAGCTAATGAGCCATATTGCCCCTTTACATGGGTATTAAACTCAATCCCAGAACATTAGTGAGGAGTGCACAAGCTAGGTGCCTTACCTATAGTGGACCTTCCACCCTCCACATATTAAATACAATTTTAAAACATGGGGGACAGTTCGGCCCCATTGAGATGGACTGCGTGTTGCACTCTAACCTTCAACCACTTATTAAATATGAGTATGGGATGGGATGGGACCCTGATCTTTTTTTTAAGGGAGTGTGGAATAATTGGCCCTTGTGGCCATAAAAAAGGGAAACTGGCCACTATCCCCTACTGTTAATATAAAAAAGATTATTATATAAGGATAGTTAATTTCAATAAAAGTAAAGGGATTACTTTCCAAAGAAGTGGACAACATGTTCTTTACATTAACTGGCTCCGCTCCGGGGACCATAACACTAGTTTATTCCACAGAATCGCAAATTGCCGAAGATGGAACAATTCTATCTCCATTATTAAGGTTGGAAACAGGATTTTGGACCAACCTATTGAAATCGAAGCAGCCATCCTATCCTTCTTCCAAAATCTGTACTTTGCTCCCGCGGCTCCTAGGCCAAGGATGGGCGACATTCAGTTCCTCACAGCTTCTGCTCATTGGGTCCAGTGGTTGGAACATCCCTTCTCTGAAGCAGAAATCCTGGCAGCTATTGTAGGCCTGAGTAAAGACAAAGCACCAGGCCTGGATCAGTGTTTCAAAAAGCGGACCGCTCAGTGCCTAGGCGGTCTAGAAGGCCTGGGCGACAACCAAATTAGGCGGGTGGTATCCTCGTACGCCCGCCTAGGCGCCCAGGAACCCACTTAGGTGCTTGCTTGAACCTGCTTAGACCGCCGCCCACGGCTTGCGCCCACCCAGGGGCGGAAATGCCGCTCGTTGAGGCCATTTTTTGGTCATTTTTGTAATATTAAAGGTGCAAAATTGTGGGTTTTAGGTTTTAAATGAACCTAAAGCCCATTAGAGGCTACTTTAGAGAGAGGAAAGCCCATAAAAAAAAAAAAATTTACCGAGCCGCTCAGGTTCTGAGCGCCTGCCTAGGCGCTAGGCACCCTGGACCACCCCGACCGCCTAGGTGCCACCTAGCGCTTTTTGAAACAGCACCTGGAAGGCTTCCCAGTAGCTCCCTTCAAGTTATTATGGGAAAATTTGAAGCCCGATTTCCTATGTTTCTTTGAAGAATTCTTCCATCGAGGCATCCTCCACAAAGCTATGAATGCGACCTTCATTGCTCTTGTCCCAAAGATTGAAAGGGCAGAAGAGCTGAAGGACATCTGACCTAGCAGCTTGGTCAACTCCACCTACAAGATATTGTTCAAAGTCTTGACTTCAAGACTTAAAGAGGTCCTCCCCTTTGTAGTCTCTTCCTCTCAGAGTGCATTCATCAAAGATAGCCAGATCCTTAACGGGGTCTTGGTGGACATGAATGCTTGCACTCTAGACACCCAACAAAAAAAAACCCGGGCCCGATTTTCAAGATTGATTGGGAAAAGGCGTATGACCACGTTGATTGGTCGATCTTGGATGAAACAATGGCTAGGATGGGGTTTAGGTAACACTGGAGAAAGTGGATGAGGGGTTGTTACTCCCACCCATTCTTCTCCGTTCTCAATAATGGATGACCGAAGGGCTACTTCCCTACTTCTAGGGGATTCCCTATCTCCCTTCCTCTTCGCTATCTCGACGGAGGTGTTCAACCAATATATCTCTCGAATGTACCAGTCAGGTCTTCTCTCTGGCTTCAATAGTAGTACTTGAGGCCCCATTGTTTCCCATCTACAGTACGCCAATGATGCGCTCCTCTATATAGACGGCGTTCCGGAGGAAATGGAGAACATGTGAGCCTCTTTCTCAAAAGCTTCGATTATGCCACCGGCTTCAAAGTGACTATGGAAAAATCCAAGATGATTGGGGTCGCTATTAACTAGTTCGGAGACTAGAAGCCTTATTCCAGATTGGGAGTGCAAAGTGAAAGATCTCCCTACAAGCTACCTCGGTCTGCTGTTAGGCCTAGGAAAACCTAAAAAAAGGCAGTGGTCCCACATCATATACAAAGTCGATTGACGCCTAGCAAGGTGGAAAGGAAGACTCTTATCCTTCGCAGGAAGGATCACGCTCATCAACGCCACCCTGGCTAACTCCCCGATTTATCTTATGTCCCTGTTCCACATCCCTACGGCGGTTGCAAGGCATTTAGACTAGTTGATGAGGAACTTTCTTTGGTTAAAGGATGCTGAATCCAAAAAATTCCACCTCATTTAGTGGGATAAAGTAGGCCAACCAAAGCACCTTGGTGGGCTGAGGGTTCGAATCATGAGAAAACAGAACACGACGCTGCTTGGGAAGTGGTGTTGGCATCTCACAACCCAGAAAAACTAGCTCTGGCCACAAGTCACTCGCTGCAAATACAGGATTCCAACAAACTCCGGGCTACAAGAAGGGAGATCACCGAGTAGGGGCTCAAGGGCCTGGAGGTCTTTCCTATCGTCTCTCTCCCTCTTCTAGCAAAACATACGCTTCCACCCAAGGGGAGGCGTTAGAACTTGTTTCTGGTTAGATCTATGGGTCCGCCACACTCCATTCCGAGCCTATTCCAATCTCTTTATACTCTAGCTACCAACAAGTCCTCCTCTATTGCCGAGGGGATGAAATCGTAGGGTATGGAACTCTCCTTTCAGACGGCCTCTTTCTGATGTTGGACTTCATCTCCTTGTCTTCTATATTGCATTCTACATTCATCGCCCTCTCTGGCCTTGACAACCTGGTGTGAACTCCCTCCCCTTCGGCCTCCTTCTCGGTAGCCTCTTTTTACAAAAAACTTCTACAACCTCCTACCTTCCCCCACGCTCCAAGGTGTCAAGAGCGAAGCTCCAGCCCTATTCCACAAAATCACCTCTCAGGTCATTATCTGGGGCTTCCAACCATAAGGCTTTCACTGGCATTTCGGCTTTGACTTTCCTATAAAATTGGGAAGAGATTCTCCATTTCCACTCCCCTTGGGTCTCACGAGCTAACAACTGGTCTCCTCCCCCGGCAGGCCACACTAAACTCAATTTCGATGGGTGTTCCCTACGAAACCCAGGACCAGCAGAAGCAGGTGGGGTCTTCAGACACCACCATGGCAACATTCTGGCCTCTTTTTCCAAGCATATAGGCCATGCCAATTCCCAGATTGCTGAGTCGACGACTCTCCTCTTAGGTCTCAAATTGTTCAACCCCAGGTGTGGACTACCACTGATCGTTGAAGGAGACACCAAAAACATTATCACTTGGGCTGCTGGAAATTGCCCTCCTCCCTGGTACCTTGCTTCGATTTATGATGAGATTATGCACATTTGCAGAAATATACCCATCTTACGTAGGCATATCTGGAGGACGTCAAACACCTTGGCAGATCAACTGGCTAAGGAGAAGCGGTGACACGTGTCGCAGGTTCATAAGAGCATGGGGCTTTGTGGCACATCTTTGTTTATGTTTTTCTAAATCCTCTGTAGATGGGCAACTGTTATAAACCCCACCCAATTTTTGTATAGGGCTACTTTTCTGAAAGCCTATTTTTTGCCGAGAGGCCCAGCATGTGGGCCCTCTCAAAGGACTATTGCATTCTTCCCCTTTACTTAATACAACAGTTAACTTCATCAAAAAAACAAGCTCTCTACATGAGGGAAATTGATCGTCCTGTGGTTCTTCTAAAGCACACAATATTCTGGAATGGAAATGCGACCATTAGTCAAAGTTCCTGCCACTAATGCATTACGCTTGTAAATAGTTCCCTACCACTGATGCATCATTGTCCTATGCTTCTGACGCTAAGGCATTTACGACCATCAAAGTCTGTAAATAGTGCCAGTCAGTGTCTAAATTGACACCATTCCCACGGATTCTTTCATACCTTCTACTGTAGATGCAGACCTGAAGTCACCATATGCATCAATGGAACTAAGGATAACTTCAAGAAGGGATCTTAATGTCAAAAACAACTGGCATGTTTGGGTGCTTTGACATCAAATTGCATACCTTGCTCAGCAGGTCTAGCTCAATAAATAAGGACTAGTTTGGTGCTTAAAAACAATGTTACGAAGGTTACCATGAGAAGCTCGTTATATATATATATATATATACATATATATATACACTGCTAGGAAGCTGTGAATGAGATCCCATATCTCCAAGGAAAACTTTCTAAAGCATATGCAAAGCAAGTAACCTACAGAATCAATGAAAATCAGAGATATAATGCATAGAGTTATCACACTAACCCTTCCACAAGCAGATTAAGCTTGCCCTTGACGTTGTTAATGACTGCACGCTCAACAGTCGGAATGCCCTGTAACAGAAAAACAAGGGAATCATACATCAAATCTCTTTGTCAAGTAAAAAAACACATGGCGAAGATCCTTTGAATGTTTTACATTGTGATTCCCCACATCAATTGACTCACCTTTACTATAATCTTTGGAAGCAAGGATTGCAACAAGTGAAGAGAATACAGAACCTCTTTTCTACCAATTTCAGGAAGAAGAATCTTCAACTTGTCTGGCAGGGTAAAAGTAGGCTGCAAGAAAGCAATGATGAAACTGAGAGCCATTACAAGTAGACAAAACGAAAGGTAATCATGGTCATCACAAATTAGGCAAACCTTCACTTTTAGCTTTGTCCGCGACACTTTTGCCTTTAAATTTTCTGAAATGGAATCAGCAACAGTCTTTGCATCAATAGCCATTTGCAAAGCTTCAATCCTCTTCATATCAAGTGTAATATTTATGGATGCTTGCGTGGGTGTTACAGAAATTTTCACCGTTTTAGCAACCTAGTGTTACAAGGAATTAACTAGATCAGTGTTTTGCTAAAACATTTTTGTTCATGACCAAAAGCCCATAACGAGCACAATAAACTTTAATAGTATAAAATGTAAGCAACAAAAGAAAAGAAGAATGACAAATGCAGGAAAGAAGTACAAAGATTTTAAGTTTTCAAAGTGATATTCATGGTTTGGAAGACCACACACTCCTGTCCACTGGCAGAAAGTACAGAAGATCAAAACATCACAAACAAAGAAGACTAAATATGGGAGAGAAGTCCCAAAATTTAAACTTTATATAAGTGATACATATTCGAAGATTGTGCACTCCAGTCACAGTGGAGGTAATCCTAGTTACTCATCCTGACATATTTCAAACCTATTGTGCATCAATTCTCAATAAGCTATTTCCAAGCGACTTATATATTGTGGCCATTATTTGTGTTCATTAGTATCCTACATCACTCATAAGATTCAACTCTCCATAAGACACTGATGTCAACTCTCCATAAGCCGCTGATGAGTGATGTTATCTTCCAGGTTGCCATCCTTTTTTGGGTATTAAACATTGAACTCAAAGGGGATTTATCATATCATTTGGGAAAGCCTTATCAATGAAACATTGAGCATATTTTCTTTAATTGATCAGATATTTCAGAAATGATTTGGTTACCTCAAGTCCAAAGATATATGTCATACAGCAAAGATCTGCAAAACCTGCTGAAGCTATCATACACCCTGATTCTCATTTGCAGTTAACAAGATGAGTAATTACCTAATTCAAGCACACTTTTAAATTATATTTTTATGTAACAAGAAAAAGGGAACAACATTAAACTTTGACAGCTTGCAGTTATTGCAATCTAATTGCTATTAAAATCTTCAAGAAAACAATGAAAACCCAAACTAAGAACACCAAAACCAAATCACTTGTCTAAGTCTGTCCAAGTCATATGTCCTAATCCCACAGATAACAATAATGCATAGACGTCAAGGATGCTATTGGGGCTGTTTATATGGTATCAATAAAAGTTAAATGTTAGACCTAATTAAAATCAATTTTCCCTCTCCCATGTCTCTGTCAATCCACTTCCTAGGTGGGAAGTCCTAGATAGCACAGACATTGCAGAAGAACAAAATTTATAGTTTGGATGAGTGATCCTTCCGATATAAATCAAGTTCAGGCAAAGTGGAGGAAAACAAACAAAATTACACAACAAGGGTACAAATATACCATGTGGTGTTAATACATGGCAGTGATCTGTTAGTGGTGTAGAGACAGCAATAACCTTCAAAGGGATCTGGAATATACAACAAAGCCTGATTCCACCCGTTACAAGACAATGGTACCATAGTCAAAGAAGCCAAATATGACTAGAAATATGGTCATTGGGTGCAGGAATAGGAACATGTGATTGTCACTTGCTAGAAGCTCTCTAATTCGAGGAGCCGTTCGTACAAGAAATATACTTAAAAATTTAATCAGAAATTTGAGAAGAAAAATGCAAAAATCCAATCAGTTTACATTACTGGTTGTATTAAAAAACTGATCATGTTATATTACTAATTGTATTCGCAAAGTGCAGTTTATGTAACAAAAATCGCACCAAAAAAAAAGAATGGATTGTTTGTAAGTGCACTCCTGTTAATTGCCTATGTTCATTCCTTCAATGGATTTCTCATTCAAACCTCTTGAGTCACCTATAAAACTACTAATTAAATGAAGTGGATAAACACAATTAGAATACCCTAAATTCAATATTTAAAGAAATTAAATAGGTCCTTCCATTAAACAGTTATATTGTCATTTGAGGCATTAAGTTCATTATTGTACACTTGTACTTTTTATTAGAAAATTACTATATTTTCCATTTACTTACTCTCGTATTTGTGCATAATCAGACTATTGTGGCTTACGCTTCATAATTGCACAGCCCACAGACCATGAATTATGCTACACTTATTTCTTGGTTTCTTAAATACTTTTTAAAACAAGAAAATAGACAAAAATCCCATCAATGGCAAAAAAACTTGTGTATCAAGTAAGGCTTTTTATAATATCAAATTTGCAGTAAAAAAGTAAGAGTACAACCAACAAATCATAGCAGAAGCTAAAATCTCAAGTAAGCTCTTTAGAATACAAAATTGTTTTCAACACTTTCTAAACACTATTTCAGTTTATTCTTAACCAAGTTCTAATACAGTTGCTGTAGCTGTATTGTTCCAATATGGTTTTTGTCCCCAATACAGTTTGATTTTAGGAGTCTCTGCTGCCATTGGCTCTTCCTTGATTTAGGGGCTCTGCTGCGGCATCTCCCATTAAGCACGTTAGGCTCTTGATCCCAAACCAGGAGGGAATGCCCTTACCTTCTCAAAACCATGCTTGAAGACAACTTAGCAATCAAGACCTCAGCTTCTCTTTTATCTTCAATGGGCAGGTGAACAGTAGGGCAGCTCTATTCTCCTTCTCTCACTGGAGTTTTGAGAAAGGGATTAGTGTTCTAAAACATGGATCGGTTGGGAGTAGAGCGGGCAATGGGCCAGTCCTGGGCTCCTTATTCCTCTGAGGGCCGCCGTTTGGCAGTGGCCCTATCCAAGACAGAGCAGGCCACGCCAGGAAAAATTAAAGGAAAACAATGCAAAAACAGATGAAAAAATTAAGGGCCAGGATGAGCCTATATTGGCCTGGCCTAGCTCCAGCCTTCTGGCCACATTATGTGGCCCTGGCCCTAGTTTTTTTGGGGCGGACCACCCCGCCCATTGCCACCCCTAGTGGGAAGACCCACCACATATCTTGATCCAGATTGGCCAGATTGGTAATCCGGATAAGCTGGATCAACAATCCGGGAATCCAACAAAATAAAAGAAAAAAAACAATTATATGAGATATAGTGATCGGCTACACCTTGTGGTTAACAATCACAAGGTTCCTTCTTCTTAAGGTTTAAAAATTATGTATACTATATGATATAGTGTGTTTGTGTATATATATAATGTAAAAAGACAATCGCATGGGCATTCGAACCTCCAAGCTTCTGGCAGAGGTCAAAGTTCTCTAGCCAATGTTGCTTGTTAAACTTTGTGATATCATCTAGATATATTATATATTATATATTAAATGGACTGCCGATTCCAAGCAAGAATAGGCATGTTCGCGAACGATTTCTGATCTAGATCAGCAATTTCCGATCGGGATCGGTGATTTTTCAATCATTAGAAGGGGTATGAGATACTTCTGCAACTTCAGGACAGAGTGGACTAAAATGATTGGGGGATTTGAGATAAAAGAAGAAAAGATTGTCCATCTCATCCCTAAATCAAGTGGTGAAACCAGAGGTGGCGCCATTGCCAACAGGAAAATAAGAGTACTCTAGGGTTTTATGGTCATTAGAAATTGAGATTCCAGCAGGGGATCCATGGCCACAAACTATAGGCTTAGGGTTAGGTTACGAGCGGGAGAATAAGATAAAGCGTTTGCGGGGGGGAAGAGAGGATCAAGCAAATGAGAGAGAGAGAGAGAGAGAGAGAGAGAGAGAGAGAGAGAGAGAGAGAGAGAGAGAGAGACGTACGACGAACGAACGAAACGTAACAAACTAAACTAAACTAACTAACTAACTAACTAATAACTAACGTATATATAGTAGTAGTAAGTAGTAAGTAACGTA